TCAAAATGGTCTGTCATCATAGTAAAACATTGACTTACAAGACATTACTGAATAATAATTTGGACTGATGTTAGATTATTACTGGAACAAATCATTTCTGAATGCACAGATTGAGCTAAGTGGAATACTTGGTTGGTTGATAGAACTTGTATTTCCGGGGGAATATATGGAATATATGTAACAATCTTTTTCACATTCACGCAGTATTTATTGGAACAAATTCATATTCTGTGATGATGATGGTCAGCCAGTGTCTGAAACGTCTAATGGCCATCGCTGAGGACCAGTGGCATACAAATGTCTAAGGGTAGATAGGCCGCGCCAAGTTTGCATCCTCTTGGCTTTGGGTTCGAGGTATTTGAACAGGGCAGAGAACACTGCGTAGTTAGGCAGCCCGGTGAAGTGCCTGAACTTGTCAGGATTGTTTCTGATGCTGGCTAAATCGATCGAACGACACTTCAGGCTCTCGTACTCTTTTTTAATTTCACTGAAGTCTTTTTCTAGGCCAGCCATGTGATCATCAACTTCACTCGGGTCACTTACACTGATATATCTGTGATCACATGGCAAACCCTGCACAGGACCAGGGGTCGGTGCTGGGTCAATAGCCGAACAGACACCACAGAAACGACCCCGGCATCATCAATATCTTGTGGCTCCTCAGACTCTTGACGTTTTCTCTTCAGAACTCGTCTCGCTGGTTTAGGAGTTGGCGTCCACTGGAACTGGGTTGGCACAGCGGTGGGGTTGAGCCATTTTCTTTCTGGCTCCTCACCAGACAGGAGCTTGCCGACGTAATCATCTTGTTTGAAATGAGAGCTGCATACTCTGGTGTTTGATGTGATCTTGAAATTTGATCCCACGTCCCTCCTAATTTCAAATTGCCATAACTTGCACCTTTCTGCATCACTGGGAAAACGATGAAATGCAAGTGACATAATCTAAAGACCGATTACTGCAGAGCGGAACAGCACAGTAGTAGCCCTTGCCTGAAGTTCTTTTCGGCTTCCTGGCAGGTTGGCTGTCAGTGCCAGATTCCACTGCGGCTGACCCCACGGACACTGAAGGCGAAGAAACAACACCAACACTAGCTGCAGCGACAGTTTGTTCGACTGGAACCGGTTCAGGAATGGTTTTAGCTACTGCTTGCGCTGGAGACACCAGCGCCAGCCTGGCTAAAGCAGCGACACAGGCAGGAACATCGGTACTCTGCACAGTGCTGGTTTCGAGTGCCACTTGCACATCGAGCCACTCGAAATAATCAGGAGCGACGTGCCTGGGCACTGAGATCGTAACCCTCTGCTCGCCTCCGCTGGAACAGAGCGACTTTATCCGCAGTTCAGGTTCTCTGACGTTCTTTCTCCATTTCTCACGACTACTCTCGGCTGACCAACTCCAAATCGCTATGATCTCAAAGAATCAAACCCTCCAGCAACAAGGACAAAGCGAAACAAAATAATTTGTCAAGAAAGCACAGCAGGAAGACGTGTCGTGGGCTGCGATGACAGCGCGAGCGCTCAGGCGTAGCCATCCAACGCCATTTTTGCACCATGGCAACGCATCTTCGGCAATGAGTGTATAGTCTATACTACACTCGTATCAGTCGTATTGTACAGTCATGAAGTCAGAGAACGTGCGTTTCTCCTTGCTGGTGCCGGTGGTTGTGCTTTGAGAAAGAAAATTTTAGTTTTCCGCACCCGCGGCGCCTCATTATTTTATGCTACAGCGATGAGTGCACAACCGTGACAAGTGACAAAACAGCGAACAGCTCTCGGACCTAGAACTTTCAGATTCCATAGCGTTGCGAGCGAAGAGTCGTGCCCGTGGTTCAAAGAGCCTGCACTGTTCTCCAATTGAGTAGTCCGAAATATTCCAAGTTCGCACCAAAACATCACCATGTGGCAGGCTACTGGAGTCTAAGCGAATCTAATCGGTATGGAACAACATTTAGAGCACTCGCATCACTCTTCTCCATTTTGGCGACCCTGCTCTCCAGTGATCTGATAATTACATCAGCCTCGTCTGCAATAGCTGCTGCTTCTTCATCAGTCGGAAACTCAGTAGCGCTCACTCTTGACCGGCCCGCGCGGCCATTTCTTCAGCTGACTACCGAGGTTCTCAGCCCCAGACCGAACTCATGAAGGTCAGCCATGGCTGCATCCTCACTCTCACAAGGAGTTACATGTCTTCGGGGTCGCTTGCACCACCTAATATCAGTCGCCAAATCATCTTGAAATAGCACTGACGTGACACTATTGCTTTCACGCACTCCTTTTGACCTAGCTGCACGCTATGACGTTGCAGAGGGTGTGGCGCGGCCGCATGACGTCATGGCGCAGCCCCCGAAACTCAGTTTTTCAAACGGAAATATCTCGAGAACGCTTTGTCGGAGACACGTGGGACCAACACCATTCGACTCAGCGGCCGAAACTCTACCGACCCTGAAATTTAAATTTTTCACCGGACTTCCCCTTTAAAAATTATCACTCGACTCACATAGATTTTTGCCATACCTAAGCAGTCAAATATTCCTGCATATTTCACTCCTTAGGGCTATATTGACCGCTTATATTTGACTACTTTTTAGCGATTGAACACATGCTTTGGTCAGTCGTGATAAATCTAATAATTAACTTTGTACTTGGTCAGTATAGGAAATAAAAGACCTCGTAAAAGACCTCGGCTTCGCCTCGGTCTTTTACTCGGCTTTTATTTCCTATATTGACCTCGTACTCAGTCAATATTAGATACTTACTTTCTGGTCGGGAGATCTTCATGACCATACTCCATAGCACTGAGTCTGTTCAGGGGCGTCACACACGGTACGACCACTACGACCATGGTCGTACCACTTTTCGTCCAGGATGGTCCGCCCAATTCATCCGAAAAAGCAATAAAAAAATTCAAGGATCTTCGGACTTGTACAAAACATCGCAACTGTTACTTTCATTGCAAGGAGCATACAGACTTGATGCCTACCACTAGCAGCTAGCTATTGCCCAAGACTCCAGGCGGCTATCCATTACGATAGGCGGTCGGAGTCACGGTTAGAGACAACCAGACGATGGATTCCTCACGGACGCATTCACTGCAAACTTGACGGAAACAGAGCTGAGCTGGCGGCAATCACTGGGTCCAGAACTAAAATTTTCCAAGATCTACCACCATGTTACAATGGCGATCAGCACGTCAAGAGACACTACATGTATGTCACTTGCCAGCTACAACATAATAATTATATTCTTTCCACAACGACACCTACCTAGTACCTCTGGCTCCTGACGATCTACTGCAAGCGGATTCGAAAATGCATTACACCCGCGAACGCAGCGCTTGTCAACGGAAAAGGGAAGCGCTTCATTCTCCGAAGCTGAAAAGTGTTTGGACTGCTGCTCCACGGCGGCAGAATATTCTGCATCTGTTCACCGACACGACCCGCTTCACCTATATTATAACGATTTACGATCGTTTCGTTCCCCGAGTTTTCTGGTAGCAGCAACAAGAATTTCGTCCGCGATGACAGGACGAAAGTCTCTCACAAACTAAAGTCCTGTTGCCACGAAGACAGAGAAGATTCCGCAAGCGCTTTCTTCTGCTTCCATTGTTGTAGCTCTCCGGTCCACTGGCAGATCTTTCAATCCCACCGAACAAAAACAAAGGATCTTCTTCTCTCTCTAAAAACAACTAAAATAATTACTTCGCGACTGTCCAGGCCGGACGTACGTCTACATACTAGCGGTACATAGTGTACGCGACGCGGCAGACTTTTGCAGGACACGACATACATGTACATGTACGTTTTTGCATAGCCGCTGGCGCTAGAACGCGCAGCACGCTTGTACTTCGGATTTTGCGATTTTTTCGAGGGCAATGGCCCTGAATCATTGAATGGGTTCCATTTGCCTTGCTTGGCTACCTACGATGTACAGAAAATACCAAAAATCCATGAGAAGTATGTTTTTAGAGCTGGAGTGGGGTTGTCGAATAAGTGCTAGAGGGGAACCCTCCTTTGCGGCTGTAGAGTGATAAAACGTGGCCTGTTAGCCGAAAAATCCTTATTTTTTTCTCCGGGGGACACCCCCGGACCCCCGGTCGTACCACTCCCAGCCACCCTGTGACGCCCCTGCTGTTCATGATAATAATTATTATGTACTGGCCAGGTAAGGGAGATTACTAGTAGTAGTACTAAGTACTAAAGTAGTAAGACAGTATAGATGTTTCAACAACATCATCAACAAAATCGGGATAGGGTGATTTGGCACTTCTGCAGTTCTGGCAACCAAGCAAATCATGCGAGAGCCAGGTGCCGTTGCTGCTTGCAATGCTTGCATGCAGTTACTACTAGTACACATAACCTGACATTATGTAGTACCAACACGACAAGAGTCAAGACACATAACAAGGCAGACTAACATCCAGCACGAGCGAGCGCACTGGGTGTTTGCCGAGTCAAATTACAAAAACAATGTTCTGCATCAGCGTTTGGCGATCAAAGATGATGATCGATCGTGGATCGAACTTCGGACAAACAGTACAGATTCACAACATTCGTCAACAGACCCGAAGGCGAAGAAACCGTGCTTTGATTTTGACTCAAATTTGAGTCGCCCAGGCGAAAATTGGCAGCACTACAACGATTACCACATGCACTGACTGTGATACTCGTCCTCAGAGGATCAACTATCGATATATCGGCTATCGCATGCATGCAGTCGACATGCCATATGCCATGCGAAGGCACACTTCTTTCATACGAAAGACAGTAGATCTAGATCTACGATACGACGGCGTCGCATCGGTAGATCTACGTAGCTGCGACACTAGATCTACTCGTAGATCTACGAGTTTTCCTGGGAAGCCCACAGCAACACCCATGCATGATGATGACGTTGTTCAGACTTCTGATGTGTGACTGTGAGATGAGTCAGGTGCGATCCAGCTAGCTAGCTTCGTGCTAGCGCTGGCATATGCGGAGCTCGCGGATATTTTTCGTTCCTGAAAGTGTGACAGCAGATCGACCACGCGATGTGTAGGTCTACGTGTACGAAGTCGCGTATACGGTGCATGCAATCTACGAACGTTTCTCAGATCTGGAGAAACGAAAAGGAGAATAGTCCTGTCTGCAGCCCACTTTCTTGAAGCATATCCTCGCAATTACTTACTGTAGCAATGTCTCTGGACGAGGAAGTGGATGCTGCGCTAGATAATCTCACGGAGAAGGAGCTTGCGGAGCTGAACGAACTCGTCGATCCTGAGGTAAGTGAATATCTCAGAAAAGAATTTTCTGCAGATTTGAATGATTGTTTTGTGCTGTGCAGTGTATTCTGCCTGTCGTGCACGAGCCATCGACATGTTATAACATCCATTATGGGGAACTGTTGCTCTTTAGTTTTCGGCACGCACTCCACGCCAGAACGTATGATAATGAGAAAATTATACTGTGCGTGTGTGCGATCGAGATACGTGTACGTCAAGTACTGTAATTGCAATCGACATTTGAAATTTGAATCTTCTGAAGCACTTCAGAGTGGTTACTGTTAGTGCTCCGACGAACCGAGTTAAAATCTGGCCTGGCCTGGCTCATGTCCGGAAATCCATCTGTCGGCTGCAGCAAGTAGCTGCAAGACTAACGATCTCAGAGACCAGACTGTGTGACAATAGCTCAAATCAGCAATAATTACATTAATATTAGAAAAAGAGAGGACCGTAACTATCCTGCTTTGTAATACAGTCGTCCCTCTCTAATCCGGCACTTTATAATCCAGCACCCTCGATAAACCAGCACAATTTTCAGTAGCCAAAATGTCCCCTTCATGTACATTGCAGCAGTAAATCAGATTTGTTAATCCAGCACCCTCCCTAATCCAGCAGATTTTCGTGGCACAAATGGTGCCGGATTATAGAGGGACCACTGTAATATAATCGTTAGTGTTGGACGAAACGGATAACTAACTTACTTGTAAACTTATGGTCCTCTCTTTTTTAAAGTAGGTTTTACTTGAATAATTTTGATCCAGTGTCTTCAGTATTCCAGTGTGATCCAGTGTCTTCAGTATTCCAGTGTGGTCCAGTGTCTTCAGTATTCCAGTGTGGTCCAGTGTCTTCAGTATTCCAGTGTGGTCCAGTGTCTTCAGTATTCCAGTGTGGTCCAGTGTCTTCAGTATTCCAGTGTGGTCCAGTGTCTTCAGTATTCCAGTGTGGTCCAGTGTCTTCAGTATTCCAGTGTGGTCCAGTGTCTTCAGTATTCCAGTGTGGTCCAGTGTCTTCAGTATTCCAGTGTGGTCCAGTGTCTTCAGCATTCCAGTGTGGTCCAGTGTGTCCAAACTAGAGTGGAGGAGAAGAGGTGATTTGATGTTGATCTTGGACTACGATACCGTCACCTGCACCATGCTAACTTACAATAACAGGCATGACACAATACACCACACTCAAATCTCTTATCCGGGGTGGTCCCAGATCGGGCAATGTCCGTAACTCTGAATCGCGTCCATTTCGATGAGAAGGTGCCAGAGATCTGGCGTATCACCTCACCATTTCCATTATACATGGCAAAAAGAGTAGTAATATTTCCACTAAACTCACCCACATGCATAGGGTGCTTGCTGGGCTGAGGCTCCTGTAACTTCGAGGTCCGGATAAAAGAGGTACGAGTGCAGTTACAACTTACAATGGAACCTCTTATCCGGACCCCCCCCCCCCCCCCCCCCCCCGAGATATCTCCCTCAATCGGGTGCCCTGCAGACTGGTGTATGCGGTCAAGTTTTGAGCAGCTCTTCCTTTTCGTGACGGTCGGCTTAGCTGCCTCACAGCATAACATAATTATCACAGTGCTCAGCTCTTGCGGTGTTTGCTGCTGAATGGTATCCGTATTTGGCCAGTGAGCCAGTTCGAAAGAGAATGACGTGTCATCATGTCCATTGTGGGTGCAGTGTATTTCCGAATTTCGGGCGGTTCCGAGAAGCGGGCGCCCGTTAGTCCCGATGCGCCCGAATAAAAAAGGTTCAACTGTACTTGGCACCATGGGCAGGGCAAACTCTGAGCAATACAATTTTGTGCTTAGTTTCCTCAGTGTTACAGTATCACTACCTCCATTGGCCGTAATGCTTCCCTGTACATGCACTTTTTACAAGTATTAGTTGATATCTGAGGTCAGAGTGGTACGTTCCCTTTTGTCGCTCCTGTTTCGTTTCGCCTGGCGTGGACTGTAGAAACAACTCTCAGTGAAAAGCCATGAAGAAGTGTTGTGTGAATACTAAATTCCACGTAGGGCCTTCGTTAGGAATTCTCCATTGAAGCATGGGAGTCACGCATATCCTGTCATGAGACGAACATGCCTGTTTGAGTGTTTGTTCATCGACTCTAAATAAAGCACATCAGCCAACAAACAACACATGTAAGAACGACAGCAGTCAAAGACAAACTGCTAACGGTGTGCACTAAAACACGTTGAGATCGCTTACATTCCCCTGAGGCTTCTTCAAACATCAACGAGGTCAGCATAACGCAGATGTTGAACAGAGACGCTTGATGTGCTTTCAGACACAGGCTGTTCTTGGAGAAAAAGCTTGTACTGTGATTAGCACTGGGCTGTTTTCCTATACGCAGGCTGGTTTTGTTGCATGTTAACTTTTCGTGTCACTTACACTTGGGTCGAGCTGTGGTAGCTCAAGAGAGTGCTCAATACACCTGGGTACGTGGACTGTAGAGCCTTATATAGAGGCGGGCAAATACATGTACTTGTATATTGTGACTGTGTACAAACGATCTGTGTGTGTGTATATGTACAGATGGTGTGTTTGTGTTTGTGTGTGAATGTGTGTGTGTGTGTGTGTGTGTGTGTGTGTGTGTGTGTGTGTGTGTGTGTGTGTGTGTGTGTGTGTGTGTGTGTGTGTGTGTGTGTGTGTGTGTGTGTGTGTGTGTGTGTGTGTGTGTGTGTGTGTGTGTGTGTGTGTGTGTGTGTTTGTGTGTGTGTACAAACGATATGTGTATGTCACTTACTGTATCTATCACGTTCAGTTGCACAGTTGTGCTATGCCTTACCTCCGGGCATGTACTACTATTCTAGTTGTACTTCAAGTACTTGTAGTCATTATCATTGTGACACTGGGCATGCAGTTGACTGGTGATTGCAGTTATTGTACACGTCAGAAGTAAGACTTGATGCTGCAGTCTCGAGTCTTGCTCCTGATGAAAAGACAGCCTTGCCATACATACATGACCTTGACCTGACCTGACCTTTGACGCCCATCGCCGGAGGCGATGATAGCAATGCTACGGCAGAAGCCATAGCAACTTGTGCTGGGATTACACCATTCAACAGCTTGCAAGGCTGAAGAATTGACCGTCACTATTCAGCCTGGTCTACACCATACAGCTATTTGGAGTGACATTTTCTGGCCAGTGAATCCCTATTTTTGGTCTTTTCATTTTTTTTTCCCCGCACACACATCACACCACATACTCCAGCATGCACTGGCTGTTGGTAACCACCCAGGAGAATGAAAGAAAAGTCAGGAAGAGTCTGAGAAAGAGAAGAAAGACGTGTGTGACCATAATCGTCGGGAATCGAACCCGCAATCTATCGATTGGAAATCGCTGCACATACCACTGCACCATATGGGACACACACATACATACACACACACACACACACACACACACACACACACACACACACACACACACACACGCGCGCACGCGCACGCACACACACACGCGCGCGAGCGCACACACACAGGCACACTGCTGTATCATTAGAAAGGGCACCGCACAGTCTTGGTTCTGGTGCGTGCTCTGTGGTGGATACCAATGCGTATGGACTATCAATACCCCTACCTGTACACACCTTGCTTGCCTCTGCAGAGTCTTCTTGTCTAGTCTTCTTGTCTATCTGCTTGTAGAAAGTGACAGCACTGCTGTAGTCTAGGTCATCGGTGCAGGTGTGTTTATCTAGACCCGACCAGCATTGACTAGCGATGCGGCATGACTGTCTCCAACTGCCTTTGTGTGTATGTGTGTGTGTGTGTGTGTGCCCACATGTCTTTGTTTTTGCAGCTTACGCACATGTATGCATGCTGCAAAAGCGATTGTGTGGCTTTACACATTTTTGCCATTGAAATGCATGTGCGAATCTGTTTGTTCGTGTTTGTTCTGTCCTCCCGTGTCTGTCCTCCCGTCTGCACAGAATGAAACCCTACCGGCTAGTGATCGCCAGCGGAGTACAACCACCAAGGCGCCGACTGGCGCCTATGATCGGAGCAAGCTGCTTGAACACATGAAAAGTTCAGCGGAGACCTCGACTGTGGGCAAGGACTGGGTGGGCTACGACGGTAAGAAGAAGGGCAAAGTCTTCAAGACAGCTGACCAGTCGAGCCCGGTCGGCAGCAAGAACCTGGTGGCGGCGACCAAGTCGACGGGCGATGCCGAGCTCGACGCTCTCCTGTCGCAGGTCAACGGCCAGGAGATGGACGAGCTGGCCGAGACCCTGGGACTGCACGGCCTCACGTCGCAAAGCTCCGCACAAAGTCGCCTCTCCAACGGTGGCGGCGGTGGCGATACAGCTCAGCTCGGTGTGAGACCGGTGAAGGCTGCCACTTACCCGGGCAGCGAGACCGACGGCAAGGTGAGCTCCCCTCCACCTCAGGACACCAACCTGGAAGAGTCGCTTCAGCTGCTCTCGGCCAACGACCCGTCATTGACCAAGCTGTGCCTCAACAATCATGAACTGGTCAAGAGCAACCACTTGATGGACATTGGCCGTGCCGTGCTGACCAACAATCACTTGACCATCCTGCAGCTTGCCAATACTGGCTTTGGCGACTCGCACGCCAAGGCAATAGCTGAGGCGCTGGACTACAACCGCACGCTGCGTGTCCTCAACCTGGAGTCGAACAAGATCACCGCGCACGGCGTGACCAAGATCATTGCGGCGCTCAAGGAGAACACGTCGCTCGAGGAGCTCCGGCTGAACAACCAGGTGGCGACGTCCGGCATTAATGCCGAGACGGAGCTTGCCGAAATGTTAGTGCACAACCGCACTCTGCGCAAGGTTGGCTTCTCGTTCAAGAATGCCGGGCCTCGCGCCAAGATCGACCGCCTGCTGCTACGGAACAACGATATTGCCCGGCAGAAACGTCTTTCCAACGACCAAGTCTCGTATTCGTAGCTGCTCATGGTTAGCCGATCTGTTTTTTGTCCGGTGTGTTGTTTTGTTGTTTTCGTCCACTCTGCACAGAACCCCAGACGTACACATGTGCTCGTTCTATCAAAGTCTTAACTCTCACCCAAATCGTGTAATATATATTTTTTTACTATCCAGCTAGCGACATAGCAGTCCCACGAAGTGCTACACGTTTTCCTCGGCTGGCATTTCCGGAAACTCGAGCTTTTTGCGTGCCAGCCGCTTTCTCCCACCCGTGCAGCGGTTTGCCTCTCCGGTCAGGGGCTCTCTCACACCCCCCCGACAGATTTTATATTGTTGTTATGCTGTGAAGGTTGCGCTCTTCTCTGTCCTTTTTATACCTTTTCAGTATCTTTCAGCCGTTATCGTTATCGAATGTTTTAGGTTCTTGGCTTTGGGGCAGCTACAAAGACACTATATTTACTAGGTTCAGAAGAACTTCTGCGGACCGTTTTTTTGTCTGCTCCGAAGTGCCTTTTTAGTCTTGATATTCATATCTCATCCATGTAGAGCTGTACATATTCATGTGTCACTGCAACTAGGTCAGATCAGTGTTCAACTACTGTCCATCGTGCTCTGCTGCTGTTGCGTCCTGTCGACCGTAGACTGCTACGTGTAGCGCACGTGTGGCGCTAGTCTTGGTCTGTTTCGTTCGGATTCAGATCCGCTATCGTTGCTGTATAGAGAGAAGTTAATGATCGGTGGGTGCACGTCCAGTGCATTTGCAGATTTGTGTGCTTCTCTTGCGACGGACGTATGCACACTGTACATGGTGTGTGTGTGTGGCATGTGTAGCTTGTCCCCTCCACGGATGCTCGCGTACTGTACATGGTGTGTGTTTAGCTGCAACTTCAATTGTAGGTCAGATCAGTGTTGCTGCTACTGTCTATCGTTCTCCGCTGTTGTTTGGTTCTGTGGATGGGGCGTGTAGCTTGTCCACTCCACGTATGCTCGTGTTGTCCGTCAGCTTGGCCCAGCCATGCAGCCTGCATATTATCCGTGCTTGTGCATGCGTGGGGACCTTGTTGTCAAACCTTACTAGTAGTATCCAGCTTTGAACCCACTGACACTGTTTACATGTGAAGAAGAGGTTGGTGCGACTTCGGCGATCCTTGGGGAATTGTGTGTTGCTCCCTACATGGGAGCTCGCGCTTTTCCTGCCGACTTGAATTCTCACTTGACTGACTGACGACTGCCATCCAGAGCACGAGAAGTCTATCTGCACTGAGGGACACGGTACCCCGGCCCAGGCCGGGGGTGCCCCCCGGATCGCCCATCCCACATTCCCAGTGTTTGGTGCCCAATAAAAAAAGGTGGGTAACCCCTTGCACATTCCATGCAAACGGAATCACAGAAACTGAGCGGGACAGTTGATTCAGGTGGTTGCCGAAACACTGGATGTTGTAAAGATGCTGATAGGGTCTGTAAAAAATGATAGGACAAGTAAAACTGAATTCAGATATAATAAATTGTCGTGGATGTTTACGTCCTCAATCAGTGGTGTGGCAGGCAAAACAAGTAAATGTATACAATGTTTAGAAACAATCAATCATGGAATAGACACATGGACAATTCAAAATAAAGTACGGTATTAAAACTACTTCTTTGAATAGTAAATTAACTGATATTTTTCACCAATCACTAGGCCATACAATAGGGCCCTGAGCTGCATGTAGTTTTCTTCGGGATATTTTAACACGAAAAAACTTTGGAGCCTGCAGACAGAGAGTCGGCATTCAGAAATAGAAAAACTAGGTACCTTTTCTCTCTCTGGGGAGTCTGGGACAAGTTACAAACTTGAACATGTTTTTTGAGAACTAGTGGCAAACCTACGGAGCCACGCAGTTTTCACACCGCTGCATGCGGAAGACACCTGCGCTGTAAAAGACAATGGTGCATGCAGGCAATGCTCCGCCGGTTGGCAGTAACACTGTTGGTTTACCAGTATGGCAAGGCAGCTACGAGATGCCAAAGCCATGTAGCGTGATGGCACTGGGCGCAGGGGACGGCGTAAAGGGCAACTCACAAGTAGTGTAATGTAGCATGGCGTTTAATGCTACAGCCCCGCATCTACAAACTTCCACTTAGCAGCACGGACATGTACACAGGGTACAGACAGCAACAGGCTCCCCGCTGGCATTGGTACTCAGGTAAGCTGGGACGATTGGCAAGACATGGCGGGAGCTAACAGGGCGCTGCTGGCCGACCGTGTTTCGAATTCATCAGTGCAAGCAGCAAGGTGCCTGGCATGTCGATCTCAAGTCAGTGGTGCAACAGGAGCACAAGTACCGTAAAGTACCGCCAGAGCACCCCGTCTCGC